AGAAAGAAAGAAAGAAAGAAAGAAAGAAAGAAAGAAAGAAAGAAAGAAAGAAAGAAAGAAAGAAAGAAAGAAAGAAAGAAAGAAAGTAGCTGTATCAGGACAAGCCAAAATGGCTCAAAAACTCACAACCTCTCTTGTTTTGCTGGCTTGGTTGCTTCTAAGAAGGACATCACAAGACTGTGGGTTTGGCATTTGGAGGAAAAAAACTGCTTTCCCAACATACTGAAAGAGGTCAGTTAAACTCCTTCTAGTCACAGTTCCACAATATGCCAGGCTTGGTTAAGTTTGACCTTGGTTATCAGTTCTTGTGTCTCTGTATATTTTAGCATGTGGTACAAACCAGTATATTGAGTTTCTTGAACGTTCTGTATGTTGTTTGAACCCAGAAACCCGATGAATCCCCTTGCTAATTGAAGAGTGTTGCACAAATTCACTCTATACATGGAAGGGAATTTAAACTCTACCTGTGTCCTGGAAAACTGTAGATCTTGGAAGTTAATCCATCAGGCATAGCTGGCCATCTCTTTAACAAATAAGCCGCACATTTGGTGGTTTTGGGGGACAAGGGGATAGAGGATAGGTCACTGCTACATATTGGGTTGGACATACAGTTTCTGGAAATGGGTGGGGGCTTTTTAAAACTGCATTGAAGATACTCTTTTAGATGTACAGTTCCCCATCACAAAATAGCAGGAAAATAAAATCTTGCAATGCAGAAGGAAGGGATGATGGGTTAGGGAGAAAACAGGCTCTAATCTGGACTGGAAAGGGACTCCAAAATGCCCTTTCACTGTGGTCCAACCACACTGACTCTAACAGACATGCCAGCATCTTGAATTCCTCCACCCACAAGGTCCACATTTAGTTGCTGACGTTGTCTCAGCCCTTCTTAAGGCTGGAACCAGCAGCAAAGTTCATCTCTGGAGGCTCTGGGGGCAGTCAGAGGTCCATGTGAACTCACTGGTACCATGATGCCGTTTCCTTCTAGCAGCTCTCATTCCACCTGAAGAAACAGCTATTGCTTTTCAAACTTCTCGGAAAGGCAAAGAGAAATGAGTGGAAAATAGCGTTCTTGCAGGGATTTAGTTGCAAGAGGCCAAAGGCTGTGTGTGAATGGCTTTTTTCTTTTTTTATTGTACCATCATCTCTCCAGTGGTCTGCCTGCTCTCTGCATTAATTAAATCACAAAGCAACAGATCTCAAGGGAATTCTCCCTGGGGGACGTTTTCAGATCTGGAAGTGTAGGCAGCTAGAGAGGCTACAGAAAGCGTGTTACAGAAAATAGCAGCACGAGGGGTAGTATCTGCCACTTCTAACAATAAAGGAAGCTAAAAAAAGCCATGAAGGAAAGTTTAAGCGCCCAAAGAATAGAGAAGAAAAACAGATGCCTGTTTTCATGGGGAAAAAACTTCTAGGAAAGTTGCAGATTTTGGTCTGCCCTTCTGTCTGCCATTAATTCTGCACCCAGGCTTCTTGTGGTGGTGGCTGAGGCTGAGAATAGTATTGCTAATTGTAGGACTGTTAAAAATGTCCTACACTTAGCAATACTAATTTGTGGCGAGATGCAGTCTTTAAAATGGGTGCAGTCACTTCCTTTGTATCATGGCAGAACTGCTACCCTACAGCTTACCAGTTGGGAGATAAACCTTGGGACAGCAGCAGTCGGGTGGAGAACTCCTCCCTTCTACTCTTGAAAGGAAGATGGTCCAACGTGGAGCTGTGTCTGACTTTTGCAACCATCAGTGAGATCAGCCCCATTACTGCCTTACAATGGCTGAGTGTCTTTTATTGAGGCTGCTTTTGACTTTCTGGGCCCTGAGATGGCCTGACTGTTAGAACAACCTAGTCATAGCTCAGGCAGAAAAGGATTGGAGAAAGGAAAAACCTATGTCTGCCATGCAGCTATGCTTTCAGCTGTGATGTAGGTGCTCTCTCATCCCTAGTGCTGAAGAAAGAATCAGCTGTGGATGCAGTTAGCTTTTGTAGGTAGAAGAAGAAACTGTGGCAACTCGACTTGGGTTAATCCTACCTGGGGAACATGTAATTCTTCAAGGATTATGCAGCATCAGATTGTGAGGTTGGAAGACTATTATGCTGCAAAATATTGGTAGCTCTCCCCATGATTCCTCTTCACCTGGAATCAGCAGAGCTACCTGGCTTATTCTGACCCCCTTTAGAGAAGGATCTTTCCAACTGTTTCAGGGGAACCTTGGGGGTTTCCAGAAACTGATTATCAGTTGCATGACTTTTATAGTGAGGCCTTGTCTTTTCTCTCACATGCTACTTTCCTGTGGTTAGGATGTGCACTACATGTATTCTGTATGTGTTTTATAATGAGATTTCTCTGATAGGCTGAGCACTACAGCTCTCAGGTTGGCTATCTAATGAAATCAGGCCTTAGGCACAGCCTGCATTATCACAGCACAAACTTTTCATTCCTTTCTATTTAATAGTAACATTGCATGATGACCCAAGATTTTGCATGACTGATCCGTCCCAAAGATTTTGTCTACCATGTTCAAATGCTTGGAGAAATCTATCTTCAATGGTGAATAGTCTGTGCAAGAACCATGAATGATGGGGTCAAGGAGTTCACATGGTCTCATGTCTTCTTGTATTCAAATATAAGGAAGCTTGTGTTGTACTCTTAGATTAT